CCTCACTTTTAGGTTGGAGGTTAAGCCTTTATATAGGCGTTGCTTGGCGTGGGCTTCATGCATCACGCCCGAGTTCTCCGAGAAGTCATGCCCAACCAGTCCGAAGCCCACAGAAGTAGTTGTACATGTAGACCAGCCTTCCTGCCTTGCTCGGTCACCTTCAGAACATTCGATACAAGGGCCAACTTCTGAGAGACCCGGTAGTGACGGGTCGTGCATGCAGAATTTGTTGGCAAGCACGTCTCGCAGGTCGCCACCTCGACCTCAATCAGGTCGGAAAGCCCTCGAGGGAGGTCGCTTCTCACATCAAGGTCACTTCGGCCAGTGATGAGGTGCTATAAGTTGGCCCTAGACGAGGTGCTTCTAGCCGACCTAAGTTATGGTCGAAGTCACTAGGTTGGCGGTAAAGGCAGGTCACCAAGTCGGGGTGAAGACGAACCGTGATCTGGGGCTCCAAATTGTCGCTTAGGTGGTGTCTACGTGTCATCCAGCTGTACAAAGATGCCATGTGTCACGGTGTCACTGGAGAGCCAAATCCGCCCTCATCAATTGCCCCCCACTCCCGAGCTGAAAGTAGCTCGATGAAGGGAGTAGATTGCTCCTTTTGGCCCGAAATGACTGATTTGATAAGCTCATAGTCGTAAGCGTCAGTCCAATTTGCTTCTTAGGTCGGAAGGGTCCAAGCATTTGCAGCCTTACGCAAGGCCTCACTGCCTTGATTAGGGCACGAGAGTGAATTCATCTGCTTGAGGAGAGGTGGAGTAGGTACCCCAAGGACATCTACCTTATTAGGGATGTGACCATCAAGGGGTTCTCCAATCCGACTAAGCACCTCAAGAGCGAAGCTCATCACGGCGTCCTCAAGAAGGGGTTTTTTGTGACTACTTTATCGGGCCGCTCCGCTTAGGTAGACTTTGACGCAATGTCCCTTGAGCTGGTTCTCAAAAGAGTAGCCAACGAGTTCGATGTGGAGCCTAAAACTGAGGTGGAGGTCGACTGTAAAGGGATCGGCCGAATTTGCATATCTACCATGGTGTTGAAAGTGAACTAGTCATTCCATTGTTTCTTTTTCTCTCCCTTTTTATTTTCTCCTCTCTTTTTTTTCAGGTCGGCGATGAGATGTCGACATCCTTTGAGGTCGATTAAGTGTAGAAACTGCAACCATGATGCTATCTAGCTAGATAGATAGGGGGGCCAACCTACTGAGATCGGTCTTCATGTTGCCGATGTGCTTCGAGGTTGGCTTGAGGGGGCCTTCGCTAAAAATCAGTATAGATTTCCCTTAAAACTCGATTTGATTAGGTCACCAGAGCAGATAGTCGTTCTGTAGTAGCTTTAAATGTGGTTGCTTCTATGTCGTCACTTGAGATTGACTTCCCCAAGTAGGTGCTTACAAGATCATGGCGTACATGTACCACTTACTCCTGGAACTACTAGCTGCCCACTCCTACTGGAGTCCTGGGAGGCTCACCTTGAGGGGTTGGCTTTTTTGCCTATGGGTCGCCTACTCTCACGGGAACCATGAAGGGCTCAACCTATGAGGCCGGTTCCACATTCAGTTCGCTTCCAACTCTCAGGGGAGCTATGAAGAGCTCGATCCGTAGTGAGGCTTCGTAGTTTAGGCTGGAGGCAGTTTGGGCCAGATCACTGAGGCTCGCCCGGGCTGGTTGTTCATTTCTATTCTACTTGAGAGCTTCGTTGATACGTACACTACTCTCGATGTCAAATGATAGGGTGACACCGTGGCTGCACTACATCAGCCCTTGGAGACGTTGATCATCTACTCCTACGAGAAGCCATAGGGAGCTTGACCTACGGGGGCATTTCTACTAACTGTAGGTCGCCAAGTCGCACGGGAGCCTTGAGAGGTTCAACCCGCATGGGCGTTCACATAGTCCATAGGCTGCTAACTCCCACGGGAACCGCGAAGGGTTCAACCTATAGGGGAGACCTCACGAAGAAGGCTGACGAGGCTTGTTCGGGCTAAAATGAGGTCGGCAGAGCTGCTTAGTCTGTTGGCCATCAACTCCCGCGAGAACCATGAATGGTTCGACCTGCGGGGGCGGCCTAACTCCGAGATGCCTATCGCCAGACTGCTGGTTGTTGAGGTCGTTTTGCTACTGATTGTTCTATGGCGGCATGAGTGCACCAAACTTCTCCCATGCCTACATCTGGAAATTCGTGCTTCAGCTCATAGTACTACTGCACTTCAATCCCGATGTGAACTGTTGATGGCTCTATCACAGGGTGAGGGGCATTCACATGAGGTAGCGATGCGTTTTTTTGGGGTAATGGGAGTGCTGGGTTTGACACAGTTGCTACTCCAAGAAATGCTATGGGCACTGAACTTGCCTGATTGTCACAAGGGGGGGTTCTCAAGGTTCATCATGGATGTTCTTGCCCCCAGTAATTGATTCTTCGTTCTTGATGTTGGTGTTGCTTGAAAATGTCATTGAGTTAATAAAAACAAAAATTAGAAGGTGATAACTTAGCTTTTTGTAGCGATTCCCATAGTAGGCGCTAATTGATGGAGGGCATTTTGGTAGCACCCCACTTATTGGTGACTCGGATGTTGATTGATGGTGGGCGATCTGACTGCTCTCTGGTTGTCTGGCTACTTCCAGGTGGATGATGACTCAGAGGCCGAGATGGAGTATTTCTATTGGATAAAGACTTGGATGCCAAGCTGACTAGGCTGAGATGGGGGTAGATTGGGTGTCGAGCTAGGTTGATTGCTGAGCTAGGTAGCTCTTCAGAGAAACCTACAAAGAATCAATGTTAGAGGACCCCGGGTGGCTAACCCGGCATGGTCACTCCGATGCTTAAGTTAGTAGTGAATGTATTGTGAGCTGAAAGTTTGTAATAAGAGAGTTAGTATGCAAGTAATCACGTGTACCTTCCCCCACTTTTAGGTTGGAGGTCAGGCCTTTATATAGGCGTTGCTTGGCATAGGCTTCATGCATCGCGCCCGAGCTCTCCAAGAAGTCATGCCTAACTAGTCTGAAGCCCACGGAGGTAGCCGTACACGTAGACCAGCCTTCGCACCTTGCTCGGTCACCTCCGAAACATTCGGTACGGGGGCCAACTTCCGAGAGACCCGGTAGTGACGGGTCGTGTCTGCAGAATTTGTTGGCAAGCACGTCTCGCAAGTTGCCACCTGGACCTCAGTCAGGTTGGCAAGCCCTCGAGGGAGGTCGCTCCTCGCGTTGAGGTCACTTCGGCCAGTGATGAGGTGCTTCTAGCCGACCTAAGTTGTGGTCGAAGTTGCCAGGTCGGCGGTAAAGGCAGGTTACTAGGTCGGGGTGAAGATGAACCATGATCTGGGGCTCCAAATCATCGCTTAGGTGGTGTCTACGTGTCAGCCAGCTATACCAAGATGCCATGTGTCACGGTGTACTGGAGGGCCAAATCTGCCCTCATCAAATTCCATCCCCCAAATCCGGTGGCAGCAGATGCAGAGTGGTAGGGAATAGTAACGGGGAACAGTGGTAGTGAACAGTGGCGATGAAGAGTATGATGCGGAAACCATGGTTCGGATTGGAACAGTGGTAGTGAACATTGCGGGGAATAGTGGTAGTGTTCAATGAAGGAGACGATGAACAATGGGGGTGAACAGTAAAAAATTGGATGAAACTTAAGGGGCATTTGTGTCTTTTCCCATGACACTTAAGGTGAGTTAGCGCTAGGTATTAGATTGTCATAAAATGAAAATTTGGATACTAGATTGTCGCATTTTAAAGTCCGGGTACTAAATTAACACTCAACCTAAAATACAGGGTACCTATCAAGAATTTTACCTTCTTATTATCCCTTGCTATGTTTGGTTTAAGGGAAAAGGTAGGGAAAAGAAGAAAAAGATAAGATACAAGATTTGTAAAAGTTTCTCTATCTTTTCCTTCCTTTCCTTACATTTTCCTTCAAACCAAACATAATCTTAATTAAAGCAATTAATGGATTGTTGAACTGAAAGACTTATTGTTTTGTCTTTTAGTTGTTAAAATAATTATATAATAAAAATTTCAAGAATACATTGGTCTTATCCAACTTCAGTTTCGATCACCTTAAAATCTTATGCACTAAAAGGCAAAATTATTAGTATTTTCAGCTGTTAAAAAGTAATTATTTTTTTTTACTTTTTTTTCATTGAAAAAACAAATTAGACTTGGATTAGATCTAAATCCGATCCAAGATCCAAAAATCGAAAGATTTTGGATCGAATTTGGATTGGATTCGGATGTTGCTTTACCCGACCCGATTACAGCACTGGCCAAGCGTCCACAGTGTCCAAAATCGACGAGAATCCAAAAATAATAAAATCTCCTTCGAACGAAACTTACGTTAGCTAACCAAATTTGGATCTAGGGGAACGGATCCAGTTGGTGAGACCTAAGCATGACGTGGGTATATGATTTCATCTATGATTGCACAATGGTTTTCACATTTCCAACATGGATCGCCCACGGTTATTTTGGTGCTCCCTCCAATACCCAAATAATATTGGAAACATCAAACCATCAAAGCACAAACGGTCAAACAATTTTGTCCTTTGACGACACCCTGACCCGAAGATCGAGAGTTTTTACGCAATCGGACCGCCAGCAGGCATGCAATCAAATCCTCGAGATCACACGGTGTACAATCCCATCAAATCACATGATTTCGAATACCCTCCCCTCCCACTTTTTCCAATAATGGCATCTATGTCCTCATTCCTTCATATCCACCCAACGTTGGCATTTCTGAAAAATCGAGGGTATTTTCGGTAAACTGGAAGAGTATAATCTCGTTCACACTGCTCCTTCCGAAAAGGTCCCCACGGAACGACTGGAGAGGGATACGGTCGCATCGAAAATGAAAGAAATCTTTAATTCTTGCTTTTCTGTCTAATCTGTTTTTATTAGAAGAAAATACTTATTATCTTTTGTTAATTAATTTCTCGGTTTTTCATATAAATAGCAGCATTTCGTCTGCTTCGAATCCCAGAAAACCCAGAAGAACCCATCTTCAAAACCTCCGCTAATTCGTCACTTCGGTCGTCGGTTTCGTTAATTCGATCAAAAACGACGGGAAGAAAATGACGAACAGTGAAAGCTTGCCGTTCTTTATTAAACAACAACTGTTTGAATCGTCCGAAACGTTTCAGATACTGAAGGAGTGTCCCTCCTACTACTACGGACCTGCTATCACTTTCGCAGAACTGGCTGAGGATAACTCTACAAAGGATGGAATTGTTTCAGGTGGTTTTTCGTATGGGGGATATAACAAAGATGAATTGCCACCTGTTCTTGAGGGAATTGCTGCCGTAGTTGGTCCAGAAATTCTCTTTGGAAAGAGTTGTTGTAATGGTAGTAAAGGAAGGTCAGAGGTGGTTTCCATTTCCGTTTCACAGCGTTTTGGCAGCGAAGCGCCGAAGACGATGGAGGAGAAACGAAGAGTTAGTAGTGTTACGGTGGAGAAGAGCTTCCGGGGGGTGAGAAAGAGGCCCTGGGGGAGGTGGTCGGCGGAGATACGGGACCGTATTGGGCGTTGCAGGCTCTGGCTCGGCACTTTTGACACGGCGGAGGAGGCGGCGCGAGCTTATGACGCGGCTGCGAGGCGACTAAGAGGATCCAAGGCTCGGACTAATTTCGAGATCCCTTCGCCTTTACCCGAAACGTCTGCCTCGTCGCCGTGTTCGTCTTCATCATCGGTGGACAAGAAGAAGCCAAGAGTGCAACGTAGCAGGAGCTGTATTGTCGTTACATCTGTGGCGCATCTGTTCGGTCCAGCAACCGAAGAATGAGAAGCTAACAGAGTAGAGTTTGACTTGAAACTTGGTCTCAACTTCTCAGACAACAACACCATCGCTGTAACTTCTAATCTGGGATTTCTGGGAAGACCTCCTTTCTACTTCTTCTTCTTCTTCTTCTTCTTCTTCTTCTTCTTCTTCTTCTTCTTCTTCTCTCTCTCTCTCACTTTTTTGGGTAGTCCTAGGCTCTTTAGCCTCTGTTAATTATCTCTGAAGAAGAAAACCTATGAGAACTTTTTGTGCTTTGCAGAGAATGTATAGCTGTTTGCACCTTTGATGATGGTAATGAGATACATAGAAAAACAAAAAGAGAAAAAAAAAAAAAGGAAAGGGTGTCATGTTCAGGAATTTCTCCTTTTTTGTTCAGTGGAATGAGTGGATTTACCGCATATTGGTTTGAGAAACTCTCTCTCTCTCTCTTGGTTTCTTAGCTCCCTTGTCCCTACTTGGAATTTAAAATTTTCTGCTATTTCATCTTCCTCTAATGCACTTTGGGTCCCTGAATTGTTTGCTCCTTTTACGTCGTCGTCGTCGTCTCTCTCTCTCTCCAAGTACGAATAAATAACAGAATAATGATCACAGTGTAGGCTTTTTCCGGTTTGTGAATTGTGACGGAGGATAATCACCCTGAATCAAAGGTGGATATGAAGATGAAGTTGGTAGCGTGGCTGCAGAAGACATATACACGCGGAGAGAGAGGGAGAGAGAGAGATGCTTTTCAATTTCGATCAGAGTGATAGATGGTAACGGTATCATCTGTTGATTACGATAAAGCGGGGGAGTTGGTGAGGGTGAGAAATCATTATTGCCTGATAATACGCCACCTGCCCCGCCACCATCTTCGGCTCTGCAATCTTTCGAAATACAAAGAAGAAAAATAACGGTGCTGGACCTGTCTTAGGCGGTGTTTGGACCGAAATCCGAAATCCGAAATGCAGGTTAAAAGCTCATTTCGGTCAATCTCAAAACGCACCACCCACCACGGAGGCCATGACGACGTATTTTGGAATGAGCTCTACCTAGTTACGTTCTCAAATACAAAACATTGTGAATTTTGAAACATGCCTATATTAATATCTCTCGTGTTGTAGAATGCACCACATCTCTTTCTAATTCTAATCATAAAGCATTGATTTAGTATAAAATATAACTATTTTCACATCTCAATGTCTTGGAACACATCACACCATCACACGATCACAGTAGGGGTGTGGTGTATTCTAATACTTACCACAGAAACAAATACGTCCAAAATTGTCAAGTATCAATACATATTTTACCAAAAAAAAATATCATTATGTCACAACTTTGCATCAATATTTGGACCAGCTCCATATCAATGAGTAATGGTCCAACCATCCAAATCTAGCTGATATTAATGAATGAAATCTGCTTGTAGGCATTTTCTCTTCAAAAAATATAAATAATAATAATATGCATTGATACACAAAGAAAAATGAAATAAGAGAACCATAGAAAGTTTAGCCTGAGGGGAATTCAACTTTCAAACCAAACATAGCCTCAAATTATTGTATACTATAAATATATACAAAATATAAAGTTTTGCATTGTACATATTTGTATTTTTACTCCTTCCAAATGGAGCCAAAAGCTCAGTTTGAAAAAAGTACAAATACAAAAATGTACAGTATAAATACATACAAAATAATATAAAAAACAAAGTTTTGCACTCTATATTTGTATTTGTACTCCTTCCATACTGAGCCAAAATAGTAAAAGATAATGAACTAGAGCAAGGTCATGGTGATCCATCAAAAACCTTGTTATATTGAGGCTCAATTGGACATTGCTTTATCTCAACTAGGTAGGGAACTATTTGAAGGTATAATTGATGAAGCTGGGGATTGGAATGTCCCGATTTTGTGATACAATGACTGGATAAAGATGATTCTTAGTACACATGTCTTAAGATCTTCTTGTAACAGTCTTTTTTACTAGACTCTTACAATGGAAAATTTTCCATTAAGTCAGTCATCCAGTACTTTTAGACTGATAGGGCCTTTAGATTGGCAACGGATCATCCACAAGGTTTGGAATTTACCTATTTTACATTGATATATATATAGGCTTTTTCTTGTGGAGAGTTTTGTAAGGGGGCATTCTTTTTTTGGATTTTAAGAGGGGGGAAGTTGGTCAATGGGATTTTGGTTCTCATTGACCAAGAATCCCATGTTCATTTTTCAGATTTGTGGAAAGTTCATTTTTCCTAGGTATCTCCTAAGTGGATAAATAATCTTTTCACCTAGGGGGAAGTTGCTAACACTTGAATGGGACAAAAATACCCCTTTAAATAATAGATTTTTATAACTAAAATGGTCATTACCTTATTTACTAGGAAATAAAAGAACACGAGTAAATACATTTACCCTGATAAGTATTTCCCAGGAAAAACTTACCAGAATACCAGATAAGTATTCTGGTAGCCAGTGTTTTCTATTGCCAAGTCTCTTGTAGTTTTTGCCTTTACCTAGGGGAGATTCAGTTCTATCGGCCATCCCACTGTGCATAGTCATTTTTTTTTATGTCTTAAGCCAACTAAACTGGACCTGGAATGGAGTCTTTCTTATGGTGGCAGCTGTTATCCTTTACCATATTTTGTAGTTTAGAAATGATACTTTGTTTAGAGGAATTTGTTGGCATCCCAACATCCAAGTGAATTTTAGGTTCAATCAAAGATTCTTGGAGTGTTTCTTTTCTTGGGAAGCTAGAAGAGTCCGAAAAGGTTTCTTTTGTAGTTCCTAATTTTAGTAGCCTGATTAGAAATGTTGATTATGGGGATGTTTGTAACAATGGCCATTTTTCAGAAAAAAAAAAAAAAAAACGGTGTCACATCGGATCCGTATAGGCATTTCAACAAACACCCATGTATGTCATTGTTTGGTTCAGCCGATTATTAAAAAATTGGGCATGCCTTGAAAATCGGGACCCCACCTCAGTGAACCATTTCCCCCAATGGTTGACTGATGTGTATCCTATGTGGTGCTTACCTGTTAGCACATACATGAAAAATGGAGATGAAAATCACCTTACCAAACAGCATAGTGTTGCTCACTGTCTACGTGGTAGAAGCATTTTTTTGTGAAAAACAGGTCTTGGAAACATGGGCGTTTTTTTCTTAAAAATCAGTCCCAAAAAGCACCCACACTTCCAAACACCATTTATGTCATTTTGTGATTGTGGGTTGAGTAGTTATGGGATAGGTTTGTATTCTTTTGTTTGTTTATCTAATGTTGGATCTTCTGTAGTTGTTGTAAGAGGGAGATGTTTCATGAATGCTTCTTTGTTGGGCTTGGAGCTAAGAGCCATTCTAGGCATGGTTTTCAAAACCAGACCGGACTGGACGGTCGGACCAGAAAAACTAGGAACCGGTTCGTTTTTTCCCAAAATCAGGTTTTCCCCATAAACCGTTGATTTTGTTCAGCAAACCGCTGAACCGGGCAGTTAACCGTTCAAACGGTTTTTGACCGCTTTTATTTTTTTAATTTTCTTAATTTTTTTTAATTGTTATGTCAAAAAGGTCGACCGTTCAACCCGATAACCGGACCCCTAACCGATTCGGTCTCCAGGTTTGTTTTAAAAACCATGATTCTAGGTGTTGTTTTGTTTGCTTCAAGAGAGAATCTTCACAATATTATTATCCTTTCGGACTCTTTATCAACTGTAAATATTTTGAATGTAGGGATGGATGGTGTTTCCCCAAATTTGTGGCAAATGGTGGATTACATTCTAGTTTTGTCTATCATTAATATCTTTATTCCTTTTAGGTTCACTCTTTATTAAGGAAATACTTTAGCCATCAAGTAATTGCTAGGAGAGCCAAGTGTTTTATTGAGGTCTTTTGGTCAAACTCCCCTCCTACTTTTTTATGGACTCTATTATCTTCTTTCTCGTTGAATTGGTAATTTTATCTCAGGTAAATTGTAGAATAATACCTATACTTGGGGTTAGTCTCACTTTAATATCCAGATTTCAAAGCATGCCAATGAAGTACCTAAACTCCCGAAAACTATCACTTTAAGCCCTATTGTTAACATTTTGTCAGTTATCTGACACATGTGATTTCGCATACATTCGAAATATTTTAAAATCTCAAAATTACCCTTCAAAAAAGACACTATTCATCATCTTCTTTTGTAAGATATTCTTCATCCAATGGTACCTAGGGGTGTCAATTGGACTGGATCTGGACCAATCCGGTCCAGTCCAATGTGAGTCCATTACAAATGGACCTGGTCCAATCTAGTCCATTGAATATTTTGAACCATTTTGGCCCGGTCCAAAGACTGTTGAATCTATTCAAATTCTTGTTAATTTAGATTGGTTTCAACTCAAACTTAGTCCATTGATACTTATGTTTTTATCTTCTATCAATGAACCAGATATTGGCTCAATCTAATATAAATTCATTATAGACGGACCAGGACCAATCTAATGTCATATTGGTCCGTCCAGTCCATCCAAATTCAATGTCTTATTGGTTCGTCCAATCCGTCCAAATAGATTTTGATTTGGATGGAGTCCAACTCAAAACCGGTCCATTGACACCCCTAATGGCACCTCGCCAAAGGTTTGCTGAGTTCAGTGGAAGAATGAGTGGTTTTCCTAATGAAGGGAGGAAATTAAGCTGGAGTTAATCGAAATCATATTGGGAAGCAACAAAATTAAAGCCAGAAACGTGAAACCAAGGTTTTTAAAATCGAATTGGACAATAAATCATTCAGGGTCCAGTTCCCAGGTCGAACGGACAACTCATTCTGACAAAAAATTAAAGAATTAAAAAAAAAAAAGATCAAAAACCATTAAACAGTTTGAACACCTGAGTCAGTGGTTTTTTGACCAAATCAATGATTTTTTACCAAAAGACGGTTCTGAGGTAAAACGGAATCAATCAGGTGACCAATTCCTAGTTTTTTCGATCCAACCATCCGATCCAGTTTAGTTTTGAAAACCATGCATGAAACCTAAAAGATTATAGAGTTGGGTTGTTACAGTCTACATGACATTAGGCCTCTTCATGGACTGGGCCAGGCCGGGTTTGGGCCGGACTTTAATTTACATGTTTTTGCCAAGAACCTTCCTACTCACTTGTATTTCTATGCTTAACCAATTATCTGTCCTCGTCAAGCAACAGATGGATTATTCATTGTTATCCTTTCTTTATAGGAATCATATGATTCTTACAATTAAGTAATTAACCTAGTAATTTAATTCCTATGTAACATTTTGTATTCTGCCCCCATCTCTGGTTCTTTAATAACTCACTTGAAAGCTGAAGTTGAACCTCATATTTTTCTTATTAAT